ATATGCCATTTGCCTTCTGGCTACAAGGGCCCCTGCTGACTCGTATCCAGCTTCTCATCCACTGTAACCCCCAGATCCTTTTCTGCAGAACTGCTGCTTAGCCAGTCGGTCCCCAGCCTGTAACAATGCTGGGATTCTTCCGTCCCAAGTGCAGGATTTGCCTTTGTCGAACCTCATCAGATCTCTTGGCCCAATCCTCCAATCTGTCTAGGTCACTCTGGACCCGATCCCTCTTGGACTGGAAGTTCCCCATCTGCCCTTTGCAGCTCTTCCATTTTCATTGGAAACATCACTCTGCTTCCATGGCAACTGCCCTCAGCTGGAGCCACCCCATGCAGGCACCCAGTTCTCCAGGGTACGCTGGCGCGCTTACCTCTGCTTTTGGCCCAATGAAGATGTCCCCTTCTAAAGCTCCAGCCATGACCCGCACGTGCTTTGGTCTGCCCACACTGAAACGGAGGGTACAGCTATTAGCGAGCTGCATACGGTTAGCCGTGTAGCCAACAGACGTTTCTATGGGTTACACAGTTCATAGTTTTTCCTGTTTTTGCCTCCCTCCTCAGTGGTGCACAGGCATCCGGACCCAGGAGTCCTTTGACTTCCACGGAGGTCTGACAAGTAAGGGTGGGAGGACTGGGCTCGCAGTCAATCCAGAAAGGTGTTTGGTACCATCCGGGTTTGGTTCTCTCAGATTTCTGGAGCAGCGGTTCCCAACCGCCCGTGTGCACACAGGTGGCAGGCACGCCGCCCGGCCACCAGCTTTTGATTAGCCTTGCCCACTGGGGTTCCCTAGAAGGGGATTCCCTTCCGCCCACTTCACTGTGCAGCAGAAGAGTGAGCAGGGCAGTGGGCAGGGCTGGCGCTGGAGCCAGGGCCGTGGTGAAACTGTCCTTACCAGGGCAGCCTCACCGTGGCTCCTGTTCCAGTGCTGACCGCTGCTGCCAGGCCTGGCTGGCGGGGTCATGTGGGGAGTGGCTGCAGTGCTGGGATGGGGGTGAGCCCACGG